GAAAAAAATACTCTTAATTTGAGACTATCTAGCAAGCAGTTAGCATCTAGGACAAATACTGATAGATACTAAGTATATAAAATGTCTAAGTATAGTTATATTATAAGTTTTATTCTGGTGCAAGCCAGAAATGATATCTAAGTGTATCTTCCTTTTTCACTCCAGTTATGGTTGAGACTTGCCATATGACTTCTCCAGTGTCAGTTTTATTATAAACCCACTATATCCCCCCCCCCCCCAAAGATAGTAAACAGTAAAATAACTTACTTAACATTAATATATTAATTATTGATAAAATTAATTTTTGTACAACTGTTTTGCTGATTTGTGTTTTGATATATATGAAAGAATCTGGGTATTTATTTAATATTTGGTATTCGACTGGTATGTAAGTACCTGGCAGAAACGAATATAAAAGAACATTTCGAAGAGAAGATGTGCACCTCTTTCCAAGCTGGAAATATGGTATTTCCAGGTTATGTTTCTTTATTACATACTTGTAAATAAAATGATGAGAAATATTGATGAAATTAAATGCTTATTTTCACTTTCCTTATTTTCACTGCAAAAAAAAATATTTTTCACTGCAGTGATACATATTTTCACCGGTGTCTTACCAGACTAATTTCTGCTATATTCAGCCGAGTTAGTCTTTCATATTGTGATGTCAAAAAAGAGAAATGCATATAATAAACAAGTAAATTTAAGTATTTTCTGTAAATAGTTTGTAGTATGAAAATTATCATGTTTCACTTGTGGCAACCACCACTCATGAAATATTTATGTTTATTCCACGCAATGAAAATAAATATTGTATTTATAGAAAAAACTTGGCTATCCTCTATTTCTTCAGTTTAGAGTTATAATTTATGTTTATTACCTGACTGTAATGACTTGAAAAGTGAAAACTTGATTACAAGTCTAAAGATCATGTTTATGATTGAAACATGTATTTTGGGGTTATACATTATTTGGAAATATAAAATGTTGAGCACCTAACTATGGTTGTGTTTGAACTTGCCAGGAACTTTGATTTATTGGTGTCGCATTGCTGTAAGATTATAGTTTTTTAAATTTGGTACCCAATCATTCCTGCAATAGTGTATTCTGCAACCAGTGATGCTTGAAAGAATGTGTAGATCTCCTCTGCTAAAACGAAAGATCTTCTAGCATGTAAGTTTATACGACAGCACAGTGTAGTTAAAAGGCACAGACACTTGGGATGTGGAGCTCGTGTGTGTGTATTATTTTAGACCTTGAAATATGATTTTTTTTCAAAACAGCTTATATTATTTTTTTTACATATATTACCAGTACATGTGCTGGGATTGACAAAGATACTGTATGTGTAGAAATATTCGCGGGCTTCAAATTTTCGCGATCTTCGCGGTGACATTCGATCCGCGAATTCATGTTCAGCGCGAATATTTTTACACAAATAATTTCTTAATAGTCATATTTTCGCGCATTTATAGAACAAAATATATCACTGTGTTCACGGCTGCCATAAGTCTCTGGTATCCGTTGCGCTTTCAAAGAGTGATTTTACTGTTGTATAAACTGTACATGTGACATTCAGCTCTGTATATAAATCAGTTTGCTAGTGTATTATTGTTTGACTGATATGATAATCGGATTCTTGTATAAGTATATACATGTTTGAACAATACCAATAATAGTTTTATCTCATAATCCGAGTCATAAATGTCTTGACATCTGACCAGATTATATTTTGTTTTGTTTTTCTAAACAAACAATACAAACAACACAAACTTTAACGATTTTAACTGATGAAAACATGGAAAACAAAACACAATTACTCAGTCAACATTTTAACAATATCGGTGAAAAGATTATGGTCTCATTCAGTGCTGTTAAAAACTGTGAAGAATCACGCACGTTAACGGACATTCTTTTGTGTGCCATAATTTGTACGCTAGACAAACTGAATGTCTTTGTTATGTACAATAGCGTATTGTTTGACACCAGGTGTTGAAAATAACTGTGAAGTCCAACAATGATTACAGTAAAAAGTATTTTGAATGAAATAAGGCTGCTTGCGAAAACAATTGCCTAATCATGTAAGACTAATTTCCCTTACTTTTTAACCTGATGGGTGTACGCGAATTTATGATTTTCGGCTGTCACCTCCGCGAATTCAAAATAGCGCGAATATTAGTATATACCCCCAAAATGGACCTTTCCGCGAAAATTTGCTTCCGCGAATTTAAATACACATACAGTATATCTTATTTGGATTTTAAAGGCACCCCAAGTGTCTGTGATAAAAGGTATCTAGACACAGCCCAGTGTTGGGATAGTGTAAAAAAGTAATTCTAAAAAAATATATATACTGTATATCTAATAAAGTCTATATATTATATATACAGTATATATATATATATATTTTTTAGAATTACCTTTTTACACTAGAATTACCTTTTTACACTATCCCAACACTGTGCTGGGTCTGTCACAGTGTGGTATCTATAGGTTTAAAGCACCAGCCTGTTCAAGTATTACCCTATGTAAAATTAATTAATACCCGCTGGTGTTATTTTTTATCACAAAACGTCTGTTGATAATTTCTTAACAGATCATAAGGATTATTTGAACGGATGCAGTTCGTGGCCGAGATGATCGACTCGGTCGAGTTCATTTAGGGCCGAACAAGATGATTTCAATTTACTATAACTCGGCATTTGTGTAATTCACTCATAGATGGACAGCAACATTCACTATTGTATGTTTTTATTTTAAAAACATAAGGAGTGGTCAATTAGTTACTTCATAGTAGATCTATGCAAAATATAAAAATCCAAATTAATTTGTAGAAAATCATGAACATCCGAGCGGCTATTTTAAAGCCGAAACATTGATTAAAATTGTTATTATTTACTCGTAAAAACAGTCAAACTCCTTCGCTTTAACCATTACTTTATTGATGCAATGGAATATTGACAGTATTTAATTTAATTGCAACAGGAAATGTTCTCCACTAAAATAGTCTTACGTTTCTCACGTCTGACATTTTTCACGACCCTCCCGTGAGATTCGTAAGATCTTACATTTTTCACGGGTCTGACGAATCTCACGCTACAACGGAAACTCCAATCAAACAAAAAATGTAATAAGCATAATAATTAATTAAACAAGAAGCATGACAATGCTACGAAAGCAGGATTTTAATTATGACCATTGTACAGTACAATCTCTGAAAACCCAAGGCTTCCATTTTACATACCAGTGCACATATATCAACACTAAAAATAATCGTGTAAGAGCCCAGATCCGGCTTTCACTAATATTCTCAGAATCAGAACTTCTGCTCAAATCTGACATTTATCTTAACTCAGAAACTTAGATTAAGATTTTGCTCAATTTACTTTTACTAAAAATCCCTAAGACAAGTTTTAATTTGAGATTAAACAGGTCAAGTAATCTTTACTTAAAAAACTGACACTACATAATTATATTCATGGTTAACACCTATATTGTGTAGAATTTTAAACATAACATATCAACTATCTGTGAAGTCAAAACATGCTTATTTTATGTTTACATGTACAAAGGGACTATGTAACAACTATTAATATTTTCTTATATTAAATTTAAGCAAAGTATATCTTAAAAGATGAATGAAAGAAACACCTGACCATATAAAAAAAGAAGAAGAATAATTATAAAACGTCCCCCTTCTTCACCTCCGCAGCGTTTGACCCGCCGCTCTTGTCAAAGCTGTGGCCAGTGTGATATAAAGTCTTAGTGATATTAACTTTTGTTCAAGATGAAACGACCATTTTCATTGGCTGAAATAAGTCGTGGCCACAAGATAATAACTCGTGGCCACGAGATAATAAGTCGTGGCCTCAATATAATAAGCCGTGGCCACGAGATAATAAGTCGTGGCCACAAGATAATAACTCGTGGCCACAAGATAATAACTCGTGGCCACAAGATAATAACTCGTGGCCACAAGATAATATCTTGAGGCCACAAGATAATAAGTCGTGGCCACGAGATAATAAGTCGTGGCCTCAATATAATAAGCCGTGGCCACGAGATAATAAGTCGTGGCCACAAGATAATAAGTCGTGGCCACGAGATAATATCTTGAGGCCTCAAGATAATAAGTCGTGGCCACGAGATAAAATAAAACTGCAAATGTCACCTCTATGCCACCGTATTCATCTATTATCATCAGTAATCAAAAACAGTTCAGATGAACTGAGAAATTGTCAAATTCATTCCACTATCTACTTATCAAGCATATAATGATTTTTTTAATATTAACCAATTTGATATTGTTTGTACTTTGAAAATAAACAATCCTAGGTTGAAAGTATGCCGTTATTGCAAATATGCAAAGGAAAACAATATATTAAGTATATAAAAGGATTTATACTGAAAATTTTCAGCCCCTAATCCTGCTTAACTAAATATGATCAGTATTTAACACACGTTAAAATCATGTCAAAAATTAGAGAAATACAGAATCCCTAAAGAAAGTCCAACACAACAAAACTGAAAATGTTGCAGGCTCGGTTTGATTAAGCCTGTTTCTGGGACAAACTCAACTGTTCAAATTCGACAATCATGCGGTCTGACAAGGCTTTTCTATGCTCTGTTTTAAGTCACACAAACACTGTTATGGTCAAACTGCGATGCCGAAGCTTTTCTGATAAAGTCAGACCACAGGTGCCCTTCCTTGCATTATTTCAGACACATCCGGCATTTGAGTAGAACAACAAATGTCTATAAGCAAGCAGGATAGCTTCCTCACATGAATGAGATGACAGCTGTAAGAGCAAGTGTTTTGAGGCCAAAGATCTCAACCACTCGGTCACGGAAGTCCCGACCAAGCTCTAGACTGATGGTAACTAAATTACTGAAACTTTTAAACACTTAAATAAACTGTTCTAAATACGAAGTTTTGCAAACCTTTTACACTTATTCACCAGGCTAAATGTAAAGAAACAAATGATGTTTTTAATGTATAGGATCTCCAATTCCAAGTACAGAACGAAAGCAAGCAGCAAATCCGGATCCTGTATTTCATGTCCAATCCTGTCAAGATATGATACCGGTACCTCAACAAAAGCCAGGTAAGTTCAACTGAAGCAAGAAGTTATTTCCGTTTATTTGAAATCGATTATGAAGAAAACTTAAAGTAAGTTTTACGAGGCTAAGAGTGAGGTTTAGTGCACCATTAACCGGTTTAAACTCCCCAGCAGTACTTGTGCTGCTGAACGTTCCAAGGTGGCGCCCCTCTGTGTTCCACAGTCCTGTCTTGTTTAATGGAACATGGTGGGGCTAAAAGTGAGGTTAGGTGCACCATTTACCGGTTTATACTCTCCAGCTGTACTTGTGCTGCTGACCGTTCCAAGGCGGCGCCCATCTATGTTCCTCAGATGTATGTCTATGTTGTTTCATACTGTTTTGGTGGCATTCTTGCTTGTGTCCGTTGTTGTTTTCTCGTCTACGGTAAGTCTACGGTAAGTCTCCACCTTGCCCTTAGTTTTAAGTCTTTAATTTACCCCCCTCCTCTCCCCGAGGTACCTGTCCCCTTCTCCTGTGCCCTTTATCTTTGTGGGCCTATTGTTCAACATTTTATTTGTTTTCTTTGAAATCCTTGTCAGTTACAAATTATTTCCTATTATATAATCATTTATTTGCTTTCTTTGAATTCCTTCTCAGTTACAATTTATTTATCATTTTAGTGATTAGCCTGTCCGTGCTCTACCTTGTGCCCTGTCCTTTTTTTTGTTTGGGTCCGTCAGGACTCCTTGCCACTGGTTCTTGTTGCTGGGTCATGTGGGGGTTGCGTTCATTGAACGCCGCCTTTCCTTGTTGATCTTGTTTTTCATATTTTACGGACAGATTTCATCGAAATTATTTGTATTTGTGGCTTGAGATAAATGTTTTGATAATTAATTGTATTCAAATGAATGATATTATGAACAAATTAATAAGACTAAAGGTTCATGCATATTTACACTTTTTCTTTCTTTTGACATAACATGTATTTATAATATTTCTTTAATTATTTTTACCGAGCGTTATTGTACAAAACGTAATAAGAACTATCTAAATTTCCAACAGAAGCTACTCATTTAGCCAGTAAAGGATTTATTATATTTATTTATGTTTTTGTTTAGAAAAATATATAGCTATGTGGGATTACGAACCAAGAACGCAGGATGAAATCGAACTCAAGGAGGGACATGTAGTGACGGTCTTGGAAAAATGTAGTACAGATTGGTTCCTTGCTGAAGTATGCGGAAGACGTGGATACATCCCTGGTTATTACGTCAAGAAGGTTGAAGATAAAAATCAAAGTGGTGACCTTACAAATGAACTGGAGACGGTTTTACTTCGTCGCCGTGCTACGCTAGAAAAAAGAAATTCAAAAGAAAAATAAATATAAAACTTACAGGGAGAGATGTTTATTTTTGATCAATATCAAATCAAGAAAAATTGTAAATTAATAAATAAGACAAAATGTATATTCAAGAAACAAGACTAATTACATCAAATCATATCAAAATAAAACTTATTATATATTCAGATCACTTATATTCAAGACTTACACAAATAGTATAAAGTATGTTCTTCTGGTTTCACTAGAAAATTATATAGTGTAAACATTTTATACAACAATAAACAATATTGTTTTTTCAATTTACAATTAAATATTGTTAATTACAAGTGTTGAATGATTTTCTAAATGACGCTTGTTATTCGTAAGAAATTTCTCAATATATATTTATCATTAATCCCTCTGTGTTCCTCAGATGTATGTCTATGTTGTTTCATACTGTTTTGGTGACATTTTTGCTTGTGTCCCTTGTTGTTTTCTCGTCTACGGTAAGTATCCCCCCCTTGCCAATTCAAAGCCAAAATAATTAAATATTAAATAACAGATGAAGATCGAAATTTCCTTAGTTGATAGTTGTAGAATGAAAGAATATATTATATTATTTTGCTATGTTCAATATTCACCAGGGCTTCCAAAATGACAGCCACTATAATGAAAACCCAGTAAGATCAATAAATTATTTCATGCAATGCAAAGACTATTAACACAAGTTACTAAAACTAACATATAGGGATATCCAATACGTAACTGATGATGTCGCATGTATTACATTCTTTTTATAAAAAGCGTTTTATTTTAACTTCACAATTGGTCACGATCATGACATTTCAACATTTCTTGCAACTCAAATAGACATAAAAAATGCACACACATGACTACCCGCTTACCAACGACCTCAAGAGCTACTAATAGAAAATCAAGAGCAGTATATTTTTTACTGAATAAATGCTTAGGGTATTACTTATTTGTTCAATTTATTGAATCAATCAAACATTAAAATATGCCCCCAAAAATGCTTTTACTTCTATTCTATATCTCAAAGGCTTTTTATTTTATGTGTTCGAATATTGTTCTTACTGATTTACCTACTGGCAAAATTTACCTGAACCACCGTTTACTTTTGTTGCTGTCTTAAAGTAGCACTGTTATAATGATTAAGTATTTTGTGTCGAAGTCAAAATTGTCTTTAAAATTTTGCTAACATTATGAAAAATTAAGTATGCATACATGCTAACATTCCTTTGGTAATAAGCATCTAACTTGCTGTAAAACCATAATTTAAACATAATAATACTTATGTTTGCCTTCTCTATAGTACAACATATTATCAACATTTTAGAGACTAAGTTGATCCGAATACTGATCCTGATACTAAATTGGTCCTTATTTTTTATCCTATCATCAATTTAATATTTGAATGTATTGTTATTCGTCAATTTAATCCCAAAATAGTGTGTTTTTTTTCTTTTAAAATCAACACTTTGTAACACTTTGTTATTTACCAATTAATGTTTTCCCAATTTAAAATCAATTTTAATTTCATGAAATAATAAATTAAAGTCAGGATAATGCTTTTCATTAGGGCCAGAAGTTAAAATCACTTTCAGGTGTAAGATAATTATTTGGATAAAAACAGGTTTTACAGGGAATGTCACTTAATCTTAATATTTCGTCCACCTTAACCTAAATTTATATTAATCTTTAATTGCATCATTATTATTTGAAATTAGTTTCCTCTGTGAGGGAAGCTGAAATTGTCATAACTTGTGTTAAATTTTCTGCGTCAAGTTTTTTGTAGATATTAAATGTAAAAGAATAGAGTGCCTTTAAAACCTTCTTCTTGTAACACGTATATCAGCTTATTACATTCTGTGTTAATGTAGTAGTTTCAGGTTGTTTCCCTTTCTTTGTATTTCTTTATATTATTTTAATATATGACGCTCAGTTTGTTATTCCTTTTTTCTTTGATACAAAACAATAGTTGGTTATATTTTGATGTGCAGATTATAACCTTTGAAATGTTTTTTCAAAGATGTTTTTTTTTGTATTTTTTGTGGAGATTAAAAAGTAATTTCAATATTTTTTATTTCAATATATATGACTAAATTAAGGATTAGGAAATAGATATCAATTCTGAGTGCATTGTTGTACAATAGTGCATGGTTTGTAATCAAATTCCTAGGAATACAATCACGAAGGTCGATAGACATGAGTGATTAATTACAAAGCATTTGACCGAAAAACCATGCATTCATATAACAATAGAAACTGTCACCTCTTTTCGGCGGTCACCTGACATAAACGGCCATTTATACTATAATGCACAAAGAATTAATATATATTTTCACTCTAACACGTCAAGAGAAAAAAAAATAGTTGGAATGAATGTTTGATGGTTAAATTTGTTTTCCCCTCTTGGTTTCCAATAGAAGTTCTGTAAAGGATGTTCCGTAGAAAAAAAACTGTCGTTAAAGCCTGCGTCACATTACACTCCGATTAGGTTTACGATGGGATACCGATGTCTGAACGGGCTGAAATTGCCAATTTCTTTAAGGTCTCCGGCCGATGACCCTCCTGTGTCAAGTGACCGGTGGGGCACCGTACGGGTAATCGGAGAATTTTAATGCAGAGTTATTTTCCTCCGGCATCCGGTACATCGTCAACTCACAGTAGCAGACACGGTTAAATACCCTCCGATACCCGGCCGGGCACCTTTTGTTATCGGTTACATAACGGTTAAAATTTTCACCTCCTGGGCGCCAAATATTCATCCAGATTTCAAGCCGTATCTGAGCGGTCACGGCAAGTTTCTAACCGGGACCCGGATGGACGCAGTACGTTGCACGTATGATCCTAAGGTGTCCGCAAGGATAGCGTTGGGGTTATTTAACAGACCTTACGGCAGGTAAAGCCTTGGACTGTGAATTAATCGACCCGGGTTCAATTCTCGGACGACGGTGAAGGTCACTTTCGTTGTACAGAAGTTCCTGTACCTTACGAAAGTGAAAGAGATTATTACTGTTTAACTGCTTGACAGACTGTCCAGGAACGATGCGAAGGCTGAACTTTGCTCTGGTATGTATATTCAAGCTGGCTTACTGTCAAAGTCCTCAATACCAACACCATTTTCTTATTAGCCAGCGTGCAGTGCTGAATCGGTTAAATCACTAGCCTTGAAATCTTGACATTGTTGGTTGGATTCCCGTGATGACCAACTAAAATAAATAAAAATCTTTCGGACGAGACTTTAAAGCGAGGTTCTGTGTATGAGTGCTTAAACACTGGGATAGGTAAAGAATTAGAAGATTGTTTGGTGCTCCGATTTATAGATCTTGTTTTTCATATTTTTTCTGAAATTGGGGCATCTTGCTTTCTGTATCATGCGCTGTCCTCAAAAATCTAAAACGATAAATACTCTTCTGGAGATCTCGCCTATACGGGCAACCGATGGCGAGTATTAAGAAACCTAATTACACACACACACACACACATATTCTATCAGTTTTCACAATCGTCAGAGGTTTCTTAAAGTTACAATCTTTTATGAAAAACTTTGATTTCACAGTGTAATGTATCTTCCAAAACAGAAAGCAAAGAAGGGGTGGGGAAGAAATCAGAGGGGAAGAAGGCAAGGACAAATGCCAACAAAAGTAGGGGTGTGAATAACGGCCAGAAAATGGGATAGCATGCTATACAAATACCGTCCGACAGCCGACCGGATATCGCACGTATACTTTACCGTCACCGTACGATTGTTGCAAAGTGGCCAGATAACGGAATGCAATTGGACAGTAATCGTACGGTGGTCTGTCGATTACCTTAAGAATATCGACCGGTGCTAGGAAAGAAGATGCCAAGGGTTTTCACCGGATGACCGGGCGAGTTCCCTTCGGAAACCGTCCGAATGCCTAATGGACCACAGAGGGAGAATGACCGCCAACATCTACTCGGACATGATTGAAATGTTTCTCTCCGATCTCAAATTATCAACGATGTCCCATCGATTCCTCTATACCGGCCAGTCCCCGCCTGTAATGAAACGTAGGTATAAATATACCGTTTGCACACACATTTTAAGAATAATAAATTTTGAAAAATTGGATACAATTTATGTGTGTTTATTTTATTTCACTTTATGTTTTTCAAGCAAAGCACAAATTATTTATAGTGAAATAAATGTGAAATTTAACTTGTTTGCGACATTGAAATAGCGTTCTGTTTTACTGTTTTTGCAAGCGCTGTTTGGCGTTACATTATGGCGTCAAGTAAACAACACTTTAAAGGTCTGTACAGCGTTAATGACTGAATTTAAGGTATTGGTGTTCGGATTATTTTCTTAGTTAGACCATTTTCTATCATTTCAGATAGTTTTCAGAACAAAATTCACCAAAATGTTGTTTTTATTAATCAGACTTTTCAAACAAAATGGCACCGTCAATGTATCGGTTTGAAAATACAAAGGGAGGAGACAAGAACGGCAAGTGCATTGTTGTGAAATATATCACACTTCCGACCTTCTTTGTTTTTATAAGAGAAATATTCTATAGTGTTAGAGTATGTTATAATGCTGGTTACATAGAATATCATGTATAAAGTAAGATTTTATCGACATCTTGGGTAACGCTGCTTAAATAGCCACGTTATTGCTCTATCTCTCATTTATATTAATTTTCATACCTTGCAATTTTGCTGAGAGTAATTCATTCATCTTATTGTAAATAAGATCACATGAAATAAATGAACTATGATTCATAAATGTTGGTTAAATTTCCAATAGTGTTACGTCTATAATATTCTTAAAAAATTAAAGAAAGAATATTTATTTTTCGTTTAATACGGTTATTAAATACGATTATTAAAATATAGAAACTTTGCTTTTGTGTTTGTTTATTTATAACGGTTAAAACCAAATCACAGAAAGAACACAATTGAGTTTAAGCATTGTCTCTACATAAATAAAGTAGCATACAAATAGCGTTGGAGACTTGCGGCTTATGATAACTCTGCAACATGTCGCATCGGTTGTGCACCTCTCCTGTTACAAAAATGTAAACAGACACATCTTAAACTTATCTTTAAGTAACCTCATTCCCTTGTAGTTAACACGTTTTGCTTTTGTTTCTTCTCGTCTCTCAATTGTGCGTAGCACTTGGTCAGGTCTCATATTTTCTCTTAAAAACTGAACTGTTTCACTTTTCATTTTCATGAACATGAAGGTCTTTAATATTTTGTTTTCATATTCCTTGAACCTTTTACGATAAGAGAATATTCTATTTTGTTTCAGTCTCAACTGTAACCAACACCTGGTCTAGACCAGATTTTATTTCTTTTACAAAATTTAATGTTACTTATTTTTCATAAATCTACATATAAGCGATCGAAAAATAAGCGATAACTTAACAAAGTTAGTGACAAAGCAAGCAAACAAGATAAAGTAAGTAATAGAAAGCGAAAATAAAATGTGTCTTTTTCTTACATGATGGACAACGTCCTTCTATATCCTTTGAAAATCCTAACTTATTTACTTTATAAAAACTCAAAATCACTTTGGACTTACATAAAATGAAGATAAAAGTTGACATGAACACATCAATTATATGATGACTTCAGGCTGTAAAGTTCTTAGCTTAATATAAGCATTGAAATATAAACTTAAACGAATTCAACTTCATGAATTCATGTTTGGATTTCGTTAATTCATGTTTTAATTATGAATTCACGAAGTTTAAATCACGAAATTGTAAACATGAATTCATAAATTTGAATTCGTGAATTAAAATAGAAAAATCGTGTAATTGAAATCGCGAATTCGTAAATTTAATGAATTCTTGAAGTTAATATTTGAATTCGTGAAGCTAAAATGTGAACTCATGAACTTGAAATCGTATATCCGTGAATTCTATATAAATCGAGAGTTTGGGAATTCTTAAGATGTACCTAGGAATTCAAGATAGTGAAATGTCACCACTGGTCGTTCGTATTATTGAACAGCAAACATAATAATCCTACAAAATATTTCATTCATTCATCTATTGAGAAGTTTATCTTATTAAGAACATAGTATTGTTAACACATAAAAGGTTCATTACAAAATTTGGACTGGGGCGCTTACGCGTTACCATGGTTGTTAAAACTGCTGTCAGTCTTTTGAAAAGAAATACCATCGCTATCAAAGGATACAATTTTAAAGTGAGATTATGCTCATATTTCCACTGTCAAAATGAGCTGAATTTAATTTATATTTCAAAAGATTGACAGTTTTAATGATGTTTGGCCAACAGATTATATTTCAAAATGTTTAGGATAAAATTAAAAATCTGTCCAAAATATAAAAAGACTGACCCACTCTTTTTATAAATTATGCGCTACAGGTAAATTCTAAATGATTATTTACTGAAATTTCGTTTGAATTCCGGTGTTATTTATCGTTTTTGCGAAGTAAATTATTAAATCAAAAGATATTATGGCAAAATAAAAATTTATTTTGACTCTCACCTGCTCACTCACTATATACCTTTAGATATGCATACAATGTCACTTTAATTAAAATTACTTCCGAAATGAAAAAAACGAGGACATTAGTTTACTTCAAAAAACTTTATTGCATTAAAGAAATACATGTTTATAGCAAGTACAAAATATATAAACACAAACAACACAAGAACATGGATTTTTATCAGAAGAGCCTTACAATTATATTAATAAAATACAGATCACATTTGATAGTATTGATTTCTTAAAATGTTAGTACGATATATAAATTTACTTGAACCAATAATTACAGTTAACGATGATTCGGACATTAAATTGGTAAACTTTTGCTTTGTCGGCCCTGTGTAGTAATACCGTTTAAGATACTTTTTTCTCAAATCGGAGAACTTCGGACAAATAAGAAAGAAGTGATATTCATTCTCTACTTGATTATAATTTTCACAATAACGTTCATTTCTTGTAATATTACGATATCTTCCATATTCAATAGCTAAATTATGGGACAATGTTCTGAATCTAGATAAGGATATTCTATAGTTTTATTCTTTAATTACACTTAAATATTTTTCTAAATAAAAAATAGGTTTAAATAAACTGTATGTATCAAGACGAGGTGAATTATTTAACAATGTATATCATTTTTTGTTATACAAACTAAGAATTCTGAATTTAATTGCTTTAAAATCTACATGTATGTTATATTGGTTTTCCCATACAAATATTTAATAATATCCAGATTCATCTAATATTTGTTTAAAAGTGTAAGCCCAATTTTTACCATTATATGACTGTCCATTGTCAGTATCAATTCTTAACATAGCATAAGTTTTAAAACGGATAGTACTTTCTTGCAGCGATACTAACTTAATCCAATATTTAATCATAATAATTTTCCGTTGAATGTACATAGGTGTTCGACCAAGTTCGCTATATAACGCTTCTCGGTTTGTGGATATTTTAATTCCTAAAATTTTTCTACAAAATTTAGAATTAATAACTTCGACAGCGGGTGCGATGTGTGATCCCCATACCTCCGCCGCGTAATTCAAAGTTGATGATACGAGAGAATCAAATAATTTTATTTGCTGTGAAACGGGTAAATCTACTTGATTAAAGATAATAAACAAATTATGAAGAGCGAAAGATGCATGTTGTGCTATACGTTCCTGTGTTTTATTCAATTGTCCGTTCTTGAATAGATGTACACCTAGATATTGAAAGGATTTGACAACTTTGATTTTTGTGTTATATATTAAGTAAAATTCATAATTTTGTGTGACGACCGTTTTCAAAAAAAATCATTATTTTTGTTTTATTAACATTAAGTTTCAAATTGTAATTATTACAGTATAATTCTATATCGTTTAATAATGACTGTAATGTGTTAGAGTTTTTAGAACAAATCGTAGCGTCATCTGCAAACAATAATAGAAATATTTGCATATCACCAAGATTAATTATTCCGTCTAAATTACTCCGTGTATTTTCAAAAATATCATTAAGAAAAAATAGACACAATAAACTGCTTGAAGGGTCTCCCTGTTTTACTCCAACGTATGAATTTATTGGAACTGACTTGACATTGCTATAACGGAAGATTTAGCAGAGGTATACATAGACCTTAAGGTAAATTTAGAACTTACATTACCGTCCAAAAGTTTTTGCCATAGAAGTACACGGTCAATTCTATCAAACAACGAACATTTTTTCTTTATTTGATAATGTTTTTGCAATAAGTGAATAGAGTACAAAAGTATAGTCGATAGTGGATTTATTCTTTTGATTGTCTATTAATTTTTCATGCTTTTTGGCCCATTTAGTTAACATACTTACTTTTTTTTGAGTATATTTTCGACAAAATGTTATTAAGTGTGAAGCCTCTAAAATGTTTGACTTCTTCACTTCCGCCTTTAAGTATGAGTATAATTAGCCCTTCAGTCCAGTTTTCTGGAAAATATCCGTGTTTGAATATTTTATTGTAAAGTTTTAATTAAAAAAGTGAAATAAGTTCGAATGTTTTAAATATTTCTGCTATAAGGCTGTACATTCCTGGACTTTTAGAATTATTCTGGACACAAACTGCGTTTCTTACTTCCGATTCTGTGAATTCAATATCCAAATTTTCATCTTGGATAAAGTTTGCCTGACTTTCATAATTATTAAAATTACTTTCATTCGATTCGGGTCGTTAAGCATATATAATGTTGAAATGTTCAAATAAATCTTGAAACCGTACATTTACGGGATCAGATGACATTTTTTATATTGCAAATTAATGTTTCTCCAAAAAGATTTTGGATTACTTTTAGTGAGCTCTGCAATGCGATTGCCCTCTTAAAGTTTATTTTTAGTCCCCTACCGGTTTAACCGGAGGGGACTTTAGGTTTACCCTCCGTCCGTCTGTCTGTCTGTCCGTCTGTCCGTCCGTCTGTCCGTCCGTCAGTCCGTCCATCCACAAAACTGGATCCCGCGATAACGCAAAAAGTACTGAAAATATTTTTATGAAACTTGATATATGGATAGATGGCAGTATGGACATTATGCACGTCTTTTTTTTCTTCCTATGTTGAAAATTTTGGTTGCTATGGCAACAAATAGTCTGAAAATATGGCAAATTTAACACATAAACTGGATCCAGTGATAACTCAAAAAGTACTAAAAATATTTTTATGAAACTTAAAATATGGGTAGATGGCAGTCTGGAGATTATGCACATCTTTTTCTTTTCTTCCTATGTTGAAAATTCTGGTTGCTATGGCAACAAATAGCCTGAATTTCAAGATTTCTGATTTAAATTTTTCAGCTTTTCCACTATAAGTTCTTTATTTCTTAAGGTGTTTACTTCAAACTTTAAATATAAGTTTCTGGCCATCAACCACATCATATGTGACAAGGTTTACAACTCTGGCACAAAAATTATCAGTATTACCTCCCTTGAACTTAGAATTTTTATGAAAAAAATGTTGTCTTTTTTAAATAACTTCTTTATTTCCTAATGTATCTGCTTCAAACTTCATATATATGTTTCTTATTATCACTCAACATTTTTGAGAAGGTTAAATACTCTGGCAAGACTATTTCCAGAATTATCTCCCCCTTGAACTTATATTTTTTTCGAGAAATTGGTATTTTTCACTCCAACTTCTTCATTCCTTATAGGATTTACTTTAAAATCCCACTTCATAATAATATGACAAGGTTGTATAAACATAATTTCCTTACTAGGCAGGGAAACTTAACACATTTCTGTGATATAGACAAACTTAGAACTCAAAAGATTTAAGTTCATTCATTTCATTCATCCACTGGTAAAATTGAATGGCCCATCAGAATGTTGCTGGGGTTCTAGCCGGTAGGGGACTTATGGATTGCTTGCAATACTATGATAATTGCTTGTTTATTTTTGGTTTAGGTTTTATCTGTATATAAAAACCTTTTTTACTTAAGAACTCTGATTTATTTTCAGAGTTTCTGTTTGTAAAGTTGTAAATATTTATTTCTTGCTTTATTAAATTCTCTTCGCGCTTGAAGACATTCGGTATTAAACCATTTATTTTTATTTGAATTAACTTTCTGATTGTTTTTAGGTAGCTTATATTTACCAAATATATAAAACGCATTATCCCATGAATTACTCAACATATTGTCATAGAACTCATTTGCGCGCGAATAATCCCATGAAATGACTGGTTCGCCTCGTTCGATTTTTGGTCACGTGCTTCAATTGAATAATTACAATTTAAGCAAAAGTGTATAGCGCAGTGATCAGAAAATTCATTGGGTGACTGAATTTGAGACATACAAATATATTGAACTCTCTCCGTTTGAAACTGAAGAAATTCTTAACCATACGGAAAGAGTCCTGATAGTTTGAAATCATCTTTACGCTTTAGGTTTAGTAGTTTGTGTTTTACAAACTATAATATTGATAAAAATTTGAGATAGAGAATGATTGAATTCAAATAATAAATGGATACCATCAATATAATAATAACAACAAAAACAACACACAAGGCTTACATTTTTTTTAATTCACATGAACGATCTAACCACACATGTTCTTTGAATTTGGGTATTTTCTCCTTTTGTTTACTTTCTTTTGCAAACTAGTTTTATTCCTTTTAACTTTCCATTTTCACACAGGGGAAGTAAATAAACAAATGGCATGCATGTTGCAGTTTTTAGCGAACATTGATTTCTGTACATTTAGTGTTGACAATTGAGTTCCGCACGTGTTAAAATTTGAGTACTGTTCAAGCCTATGCTAGGGGTATAAAGGATGTTGCACTACATTATTTTTCCTCATGCACAGACTCAATAAAGTCGAATCTGTAATTTCATGTAATTTTGTTGTGATTTATGCTTCCGAGGGATCACCCTATTTTCAAGTTTTGTAGCAATATAGACACACATAATTTTATTGAAGATTAGTTTTTGACTTAAGTAATATATATATTTGAGTTGTGTCATTTACGGTGTCATTTGATTATGAGATTCACTACTCGTACTTTTTATTTTTTAAACAAAGCCGTGATGAATTATAAAATAATTAACTTAGATAACGTAGACAATCTATTATACTATTTAATTTATCGGTATTTACTTTTTTTCGTCTGCGTGATTTACAAAGGCTCGCATTTTATCATCACTAAGTCTAAATGAATTCGAAGTTTTTTCACAAGTAAAACTGTGTGTCTATTTTAAGGACGTAGAACGCGTCACCCATAAAATCTATCCAATAATGTATTGGTTTTCTGTCGATCCCCTTACTCTTTCCTGTTTGGGCACATTGCCAAATTCGTTGTAAATTCATTGCGTACATGTATTTTCGTTTTATATCGAGATCTATTGGATTAACTATTACTTCAGAATACGACTTTAAATATAAAACCAAATGTGTAACGCTCAAGACAAAATATTTGGTTTTGAGGTTGAGACATTTATTTCTTCTCGAAACATTATGAAAATCAATGTTAAATCTCAACCTTTTACACAACAATTATAGAACCACTCGAATGCATACTTATTCGCTTTTTAATACCAATACCAACAATAATTAAACACCTTCTTCATAAAAAATATGTAATAAAAGTATGCATTCATTCTGAACAATGTTTCAATAACAATATTCGGTCAATATTTTTTTTTCATTTTTTTAACATAGAAATATTATTTGTAAATTGTCAAACGATCAAATTAAATGGTAACTGTATTGTTTGCCGAGTATAACAAGACTATGACAAATGGGCATTCCTTTAAACAAATAATACCGTTTGTATAAAAAGATAATATCTGTTTGTTTTGAATGAATATTTATACATCATACTCAGAACTAGGAAGAAATCATAATTTGATGTGTGAAAAAACAATTTTTTATGTCATGACTACTGTAAAAGGTCAAACACTTTTCAACTGATTTCATCGAAGTACGGGAAACAGAAGCTTGTAAAGTAGATAACGACAGACGTAAATCGGTGAGGCGGACGATGAGAAAACAAAACTTTTAAATTATAGTTATCATTGCGGTGCAACTTTTAACCATTTTAGTGCAGTAATGATAATTGAATTTATAACTGAATTTAAAAATGTAACGTTAGGAAACAAGTAACGAAACAAATAAGTTCTATTTAATTCTAAACATATACAGAATCATGAAAATTAACACGCACAGCAACTAAAGGTTTGACACAGCATTATTACTAAAGCGAATTAATGTGTTACATAAAAGGCAGTATTGAACTGGTTAGCATTAAATATAAAAACGTTTATATTAAGATAAATCATTTCATTTAAAACCTTATAGATATATCTTTTCTGTCCTATCATATTGAAGGTAGAATGATTGAAACGTCTTTCATGTAGAACAGAAATGTTATCAACTCACTGTTTAACTATTTGATTTATAAACAGATAAAATGCATATGTTTTATACGAGCCTGTAGAAGAATATTATCTGTACGTCAAACGGGGAGTTATTCGTAAGTGAGATATCAAAATATTTACTTAACTTTTTGTTAACAGTGGATTAAAACAATAGTCAAAGCCTTCAGAAAAAAAGCTGATTGTTGGTTATTTAATTTCATATGTAGGTTTTTAATATATCGTGACTTTTGTTAAATAAAGATGGGAAAGAAAAACAAAAAAATAAAAAAGGATGTATTTTCTGCATTTTGTGACAAACATTCTACGCATGCTATAGAAATGTTTTGTGTGGATTGTGACAAAGTTGTCTGTGTAATTTGCCTAGCTACAGAACATAAAAGTGACGCTCATACGAAGATACTTACAATCGAAGAAGCATCTACTGACTGCGCTAAAACTAAGGAGTTTTTAGAGTATGAAGACAAACTTAATACAGTTTTCACACGTGAAACTAAAACATTGGCAGATAATGGCGAAGTTAATACAATAACGGATCAATTAAAAGAAGTAACAGAATCTTTGATTAAGAAGCATAAACAGGACATGATTGATCTGATCGAAAAACATTACAAGATGTTATATGAGAGGCATCGGCTCAAGTACGAGGAATCAAAGAAAAGATTACTGAGTGTGAATGAGCAATTGTGTAAAAATGAGAATAAAACTTCAGAGATTCGTCAGGAAATCAATGCAAAAAAAGAGAGTGGACAAAACGTGGCATTGTTTATAGCTATGAAAAAATCTCAAGATAATGTACGGCAAATTGAAATTGAGCTAGAAGAAATTGAAAAACTAAATTTTGTTGAAAGGTAATTATAGATATGCGACATACATATAAAAACTTCTACGTTAAACTTATAAACTCTTATACATGAGACTGTATAACGCAGCTAGCTTACTTTTACATACAGGTGTATCGTATTGAACATAGCTTGTCTCAAAATCCGACCTTTAATAGAAATCTTAAAAATTGAAAGCTTTATACCAATTCAAATATAATTTAGAACAATTTTACACTCATGAACATAACGCTTTATTTATGCTTCCTAGTTAAAAGACTTGGGTTGAATCCAATGATTGATGTCACAGCAAATATATATCTGCAATTTATTTCACAAACAATTGCTATAAGCGAACGCCACATTTTGAGGTTAAATTTTCTTTAAATGGCCATGTCGATTTTAGAAGTGAAACGTGATGGACAAAATAGAGTGAAATAGAATACCTTGAAAAAACCTAATACAGCAACATTGCAATGTTGAAGGCTTGGTTTGATTGAACCTGTTCATTGACGACATTGAGAAGTGCACGTTACCGTCCACCTTTGATGCGGATTTTTCTATCCTGTAAGTGAGCAATACATTTCCTTTACATACTCTATATTGATATGATATATTCGATATTACAAATTATCTTGGTAGGTATGAGTTACAAGCAGGACACATGGTGATACAGCTTTTGGAGGAAGAGAAAGAATTTGGTGATTTATTGGTAACGGCGTCCACGTCTCCAAAAGGTATTGGAATGTATGTGATCATAGTTATTACTTAAATGAATCAAATCGTCTGTATGAATATTCTTCCACCCATTTCAAAGAACAGAAAAAAATCCCGATATATCAGAGATCCAATATTTTATGTAGAAAGAAAACATTTTTAATAAAACAAAATTTTCATTCAACAATTTGAAATTATTGTTTTTCTTGCGTATATATATGCTGAGGTCAACAAACTTTTTATGAATTAAAGACGTTTTCGGTAGTTTTTGTGCGCATCGTTATGCGCTTCCAAGAAAGATAATCACGGATTATTACTCTTCAAAAAGAAGGTCAAATTGAATAGTACTCGGTTCAAAAGAATAAGAGGTTGTTTACACAACATCAGATAAAGGATTTCTCCTAGCTTTAGTACGACAGCATTGATGGTGATTCTGCGCGCGTTACCCCACTCACTTGTGGTATAGTGACGAAATTTTGTCATCACTTGATCTACTGGCAGACAAGTGAGCAAAGTTTAAACTGATATATTTTAAAAATGCTGAATAAATAACAAAAATAATATCTAAGAAATGTTCCAATTTTTTATTATTTTCTTTGTAAATTTCTGAATACTTGCTTACTGTTACATACATGTTCGGGTATGTTAGTCGAGTGAAGAAATAATATAACTTCTTTTAAAAACATATTCAGTATCATTCACTTCAAATGACATCAAAAGGAAGGAAATTTATATATTACAACATGTTTTTGTTGTATTTATGACAATGCATTTACTAGTATAACACTGATATTTCTGAAAGGAAAGCGTGGTAATTTTGACATATAATATGCGGTAACCATGGAAACTGCCCGTTTACAAAAAAACTAACACGTCAACATATATCTTTATTTCTATTTTTGAATCCACCATAAACTTTTACTTGGTATATCAAAAATGTAGAAAATTCTATGACAGAAATTTTTGATAGCTTTAATTATTTACAGAATTCATGTTTCTTTTTCTCATTTTTCGTTCAGTTAAGAAGCAAGAAAAACTCATTTTTCGAAGAAATATGTTCAGATTATCGTTTTTTTATACAGAACCCTTAGATAAAGCAAGTTTTGTATAAAAGTATGCTTATTGTGTGTATAATAAGCTGTCTTATACATTTTATATCACAGTTTGGCTATTTTGACAGTTTTGAAACATACGGTTGCCATGGAAACTGCCATTTTTCAAAAAATGCAACACATCAACATATATTTTTCTTTTTCTTTTTGAATTTGTCATTAAATTTTACACAACATTAAAAAAATTAGAAAATCCTATGAAAGAAAGTTTTCAATATCTTTACTTATTCACAGAATTCATGTTTATCTTTTTCATTTTTGTTTAGTTAAGAAGCGTATGGAAAATCATTTTGTTCAGATTATCATTTGTTTCATACAGAATCATTGGATAAGGTTATCTTTGCATAAAACAATGCTTGTTGTGTGTTTTAAGCTATCTTATACATTTTTTATTTGTTATAACACAGTTTCGCTATTTTGACAGTTTTGAGAATACGATTACCATGGAAACTGCCAGTTTACAAGATATCCAACAAGTCAACATATATTTTTCTTTTTATTTGTGAATTCGCCATTAAATTTTACTGATCATACAAAAAATTTAGAAAATTCTATGAAAGGATTAAATTTGTATAAAACTGTAGAAAATGTATTTAAGCAAATAATTAAGTCACAATAGGTTGCACGATTTACTAAATGCAACTACACACTACCGCATTTAATATGTAAACAGAACTTAGTAAGGGGCAGAACACCGTTGACTATAATATACGAAATAGAAAAAATCAAAGCTTGTAGTAAGATTCATATTGTAGCATTACACTCTCAGGTACAATAAATATGTGTTTGTTGGAATTGTACGGCTAGGTTGACGACTGACCTTAAGTTTTATGATTTTGTATTGAAATATATTTAACATTGTGCATCAATCGACAAGTCGTGGCTTAGATATTTATAGAACCAATTTGATAGTTGTTGTACACATTAGCGGATTGTTCAGGTTTTTATGTAGCATACTCAGAGTCGTTGTAATGATGTTTTGGCCAAATAGAAAATAACTATTAGTAAGAAATAAACAGGATTAATTGCTCAGGTAAAAGAACTCGCGAAGTTTACAAAAATATTGCTTTTTGTAACCGGAACAAATTTATCACATTCAGTGCTTTGGTTAATCCATTCAATCCAGCTGTCATTGCGTTAAATTTCATTGTAAATTATTGAAATTTACCATGATTATTTGGAATAGATGTAGCAATTTCACATTTACATTTTAAGTTCTGCTTTAAAATGTGTAATCACAAAGTTCAGAATATGTAGTGAGGGTTTTATTAGTTTTGTTCAGTGTATATTTTAATTGAACGAACAAAAATGAATTATTTTGTGATAAATGAATGTATTTACATGTACCCTTATATCATTTATTTCTTAAAGTAAACATGTATTACAACATTTGCAGTACCACCACGTGAATTAAAACCTCGTGGTGTTTTAGTGTTACCTTGTCAAAGCAAAGCAGGAGGACAAGAAGATGTGGCTGAAGAAGATGAACTTGATGGTTACGGTAAGTTTTCAAGGCATAAGGACAAATTTACTTTGTGTAACAATTGAACAGTGCACATTCCAAAGCTAAATGCCCACAAATTACTATATTATTATCATTTACATCTCGTGTGTATCTCTGAGATATATGAGAATCATAAACTGTTTACGCCGACATTGTTTCAAATCCATTTTGTACTGAGCTCTATATTTGTTACCCACATAATGTTCTGATATTTGTACTATCTTTAAGCACTTCAAACTTATTCATAATGTAATGTACATCGCATTTGTTTAGAATTTATTACTTTTGTGTAAACGTTACAAATTTTACCCCAGAAACAAGTTTATTTATATACGTTAGAATGTTTATCATACAATCTAACATACCTTTTCTTTTGACGACCATGAAGATTAAATAGTTTTATCGCCTAGTTTTATTAAACATGGAAATGATCAGGAAGTAAATATGTATTTTAAGGGTATGTTAGAGGAAAACATTACATTTATTCATGGAAATAATACATGATCTTACATTAAAGGTTGAATGGCACTCCTTGTAGTCTTACTTTTTATATAAAGAATCAATAATAGAAATTGAAGGTATGTGTTTAAAAAGAAGTACGATGTAAAGAGTTTTCTCGATTTCATTTTATTGTTTTAGTATACAGATAAATTTGAGTGTATTATTTTTCTATAAAATAGAAAAGATTGATTACTTTTAAAACAACTCCGAAAACGGAAAAAAAAGAATAAAGGTTCAGGCTTGGTTTTTCTGAGACTGTTCATAGACAGTAGTTGCAAGCTCAAACTAGACAGTTTAACCAAATGAAAAAAAAAATCCTGTCCTTATACAAGCAAAAAGCAATAAATGTAATTAACCGTTTGCTGTTTCTTGTCCATCGTTTGCTATTGCATTTTATAATATCTTAAAGGGATTTTTTCTAAACCATTGAATATATTTTGCCGGATGTTACACGGTTTATCTCCGTTATAAAGCTGTAAAATTGGATTGGGTCTGATTATTTATCAGGGGAGCTAAATCCTTTCAACCTACAATAATTATTATTAATCTATAAGTATTTAACCTTAGACCTCATAAAGATGTGTTTTGGTGGCTTTTCATCCTCCTTTTTTGAGGCCACAAATAGTAAAAAATGACATATACAGGCCCCAAACACTGTTTTTTTCGTTTTGGAAATGTTGTTAAAAAGTGATCACTTTTTCGGCGCCGCCCCCTATCAAAAAGGTACATCATGGGGGTGCGAGAGGGTGGATGTGCCCCCTTCTGTTCAGGGGTTTAAAGAGGGGCGAGAGCCCCCCTCTTCGCCAAGAACATATTGGACATGTGACAGGCTAAAATGGCCTCAGGTCGATCGAACTAAAGGTAACGTGTATCAAACGTTGAAAAGCCTTGTACTATATCTCAATCAGGACTTTGAAATCAGTTTTGATGGAAAAAACAAAACAATGCAAAATAGCAATTTTTGGCAATTTGGAGACGTCCCCGTTGCCATGGTCACAGGAAATTTAGAATTGAGCATGTTGTTAAAAAAGCTATGGTCCAGTCAATATTTGTGCCAAGTGTCATCAGTATTGAAGCATTCTTGATAGTTTCATAGCAGTTTGAACTTGTTACAGGAGGCTTTCAATGAAAACGGCCATTTTTTACAATATGCTCATGCGGTAAAAGGTTAAACAAAACATGTTTATAGTAAAAACAATAATCGTGTTAAATTGTGTTTTTAAAGAGCCTGTTGGACAAATTGATACAGCAGGATCAGATGATGATCAGGAGACTCGAACAAAATCATCTCCGCGCAGAGATTCTACTCAGTCATTAAATACTGTATTCACTGAAGAAACAAACGAACAAGAACGTTTAAGCGGAGACAACTTCAAAAATCCTAACACAGGCATGTATCAATAATTAAAATTAACATCAGCACATATTCTGTGCTTGGTTGTAAAACGTCTTGTTTCCAAAACGTTGTTCGTTATACATTCCCGTCGTTAAAAGACCTTTCCCAAATTACAGAGCAGATGTTTTCTGATCCTTACCGATTATAAATGACAATTAAATAGCCCAATACATATTTCTGGTTCAAGGTAAAAGAAGCTAGATTTATATTAAAGTTAGAAACTAAAGGTCAAAATCCTTTGTATCTATGGTTCTGCATAGCAAGCCTCTAAAAAAATAAAAGCGTACAACAGCGACAATATGTGATCACTTTCCAGATTAATTTTCTAAAACGATTTTGACAAAAAATATTTTTCATTGTTTCAATATTAAAAAAAATTAAGGGGTTGATATGTTTCGTGTTTCTTTCTTTACTATTTTGTTTTGTAAGAAATTCGTTCAAAGTTTGCAATTGAGATGACAAATACGACTTTGCCACTCATTTTTGTATTTTATCATGGAAAAGGCCTTGCCATGGTTAACATGGCACAAGTTTTGTAACTTTCCAATGGCAAATTTTCCGTGGCAAACTTCTCAAAAAAAAAATCTGACTGAATATTATTCTAACACATACTGTATGTAATGTTTTCAATATTTATCTCAAAATTTAAAATATCTACCATGGCAAATTTTCGCAATAGCGTGGCCATGGCAAAGGTAAACAGAAAAAATTAAAGGATTTATTCAAAAGCATTAATTGTGAATTATCAAATCATAATCATCATTATAACTATAATTATCATTGTCATAATCGTAGGTATCATCATGAAGATCAGGAATCACTGTCATCATCATATTTATTATATTATATTGAATTTTTTTCTGAACAGAAAATCCAAGTCATTCTTTTCATCCCTTTTATCATCATCATTGTCTCCGTCATTATCCCTTGAATATTATCATTGTCTTCTTCACAATCTGTATAATCCACATTGCTATCATCAACACTACCCTTTCTCCATCATCAACAAAACATTCTTAAATATCATCAGTCGAATAAGTCATCATTTTCAAAATCATCATCCAACTCATCATCACCTCAGCGTCATTATCATCATTTTCATCAACAGTATGATCGTCAATGCCATCACCATAACACTCATTATCATATAACGCGAATTGTTTCCAATTAATTAAATAAATCGTTTTTTCTTATTTGATTTTTTTTCATGGTCTTCAATCATGAATGAAAGTTAATAAATAAGTGAATAGTATGTATATAAAATTAAGCGGCAGCTCATTATTTCAATTTTGATCTGACAATCTTTTTGAAAATTGACAATTTTAAGATTTCTAATTCTTTTATAAAATGGTTTATTATAAGAATCTTAAGCTAATTATCACTTGTCAGCACTAACAGCATCTATATCAAGGTTCATTACTCTTGCATCTTTTCTTCCCAAGAATCATCTTCGTTTCAATCATAGAACTTTGCTTTAAAAATGTTTAAATTTAACACTTACTATCAGTGTTACTGAACTGATGATTACTTCAGGTCCATCATTGTTATCTTTTCCAAAATAGCTTCTTCTCATATTCTATTTTTTTCCTTTTCATTGACATGGTGACATGTTTGTTTAGTGTTTGGAAGAAGTTAGACATTTCAGTTCCTTCCTTGTATCGATACACTATATATGTATAAATGTTTTAATTGATGAATTTAATAGTTCAGACTTTCTTTAGTGTGCCCAGTATTTTAAAGGTCTAGCGTATCATATCCGCTTATAGCTCCTGTTGATTTGATTTTCTCCTCTATATTAAGAATGCATGGACTCAGATGCTGACGATGAACAATTTGATTCGGAAATGCCTACCAACGCCACAGGTAGCAAGTATTTTGATATTATTTTTCAAATGATCTGAATAGGAGATGCAAGTGGCAATGATTTTTAAGTATTCTTCTAATCATTTTACTAAAATAGGATCTCCTTTTATCCTGTTTACATAATGAATACGTTAAGGTTACGGTAAGCTTTGAGAAACCTCTTAATAAGTAAACATTCTTTCAAATGTTTTGATTTTTATCCAAAGATATTTTCACCTTTGTTTCCTTTTGAAACTTACCAGATCGCTTTAAAAGGAAAAAAATCTCTTAATTGGTACCTGATTAAATTTAAAACAATTGACTTTTATTAGAAAATTAAGAGCATTAATCATATTAACAACATATTCTATAAATAAGCACCTTCGATTGAAAATAAACCATCGCCTGGAACCATACGGCGACGAGGGAACACGTGGCACGAAAGTTATGATACGGTAATTATAGTATTTACTTTGTAATTTTCTTCCTTTTAATATCTTGTAATTTAATTAGATTTTGCATTTATCATCCCATGATAACGGAACTTTTATAGAATTAGTTTTAAATTCCGACTTTTGTCGCCTATATACTTTAATCGCCTTGGATATGTGTTTTTTCACGGAGTAAATGTTCATTACTTTCACTTCATACATGTTATATAATTCTTTTAAAAAAAGAAAAGTGATGATCAAGCTTATCGGAATATTTTATTAGTTAATGATAATTACTTTATTATGACTAACTAAAGTGTTTAGTTTCTAGTTGCTACCCAATAATAGCTTCGTTGCAAAAATACAATCAAATAACATATCATTTAATTTTGACATCAACATCGCCTTTATAATTCATTAACATTACTTGAATATTGGCATTTGTACTATTCTTAAAATTGTCATATTTCCCTCGGTTTTAATTTAATTAAATCACTATTATACCAGAAGTGGGTCCAAATAAGTTCAATTTCAATTTGTAGGTACAACTTTGGGAAATTGAGCAAACACACACACCAGGTAAAGTTTCAATTGATTTAATGTTTTAATTCACAAACACCTTTTAAGTATTCATTAAATTAATGTGTTTCTATTTATATACGATAATGCAGTTGTGAGGTTATCAAGCTAGATTCGGTGGTTCTACTCAATTCTTTGTGCTTGAAATAAAGCACGGAAGGACACCTGAGGTCTTAACCCACCGGTTAAGCTGGAAAGTTGTAATATGACCTATATTAAGTCGGTGCGACGTAAACCTCAATCAAACAAACATAATGTTAAAAACATAATGCGTTTTATCAAACAAGAACCGTGACATTCCCACGAAACCTTAAGTTATAACCATTGTACAGTAATCTCTCTGAAAACCTAAGAATAAAATTATACCAAGGCACTGATATCAACGCTACAAATAATCGTTTAAGAGCCAAGGTCCGGCTTTCACTAACATTCTCAGAGTCAGAACCTCTGCTCAAATCTCAATTCAATTTAGATTGAGATTTTTCTCAGTTTTGCTATCACTAAAATTCCCTGAGACAAAACCTGAGATTTGAGATTGATCTCAGAAATATTGAGACAAGGGTTCGGCCGATTCAGATAAGGTCTCAGTGAAGCTAGATATAATAGATGAGTAGTATTTCCTTTCTGTTTGGTTATTGTAACAGTTAACATAATTATATTATCCTTACTTGGGAAAAAACGAGAAAGAATTAGCGATTTAGACTGATTATGTTGCGGTAAAATCATGCCCACTGCTGTAAGAAGTCTTAAAACCATAACGTCACAAATTTAATAATAAAAACTATGATGCATATTTAACACTACTGTGCAAAAAATGAATTTGCTTCTCGTAAGACATCGTTCATATGTCAATAAAGAGGGAATGTTATTTTAAAGCCATTTACATTCATTGTTGTTCAATTATTATAATTCATTTTGAAAATGTCAAATAATTTTTACTATCTACTAATCAAGCATATAAGGAATTCATTTCATATTACCCATTTGTAAATGTTTGTACTTGAAAATATATAATCACAGGTTGAAAGTATGCTGTTAATGCAAAATGCAAAAGATAACAACAAAAACAACAAAAACAACAACAACAACAAGAATCATGTTTCTGTTGCGCCTCAAATTTGTCCTTTTCGCCAGCTTACATAAATAGCAACTATTTACTTCAAAATAAAAAAAAATGTTTGTAGCATATCTTAATTATGTCTTTGGGACAAAACAGTCTCAGTAGAGATACATTTATTTCAAGCTTTGAAAAAAGTTAAGTGAGGGCTTGAGATTTGCTCAGGTAAGTATGTCAGTCAATATTGAAACAATCTTAGGTTGAGATTTGTCTCAGTTGTGAACGTTAGTGAAAGCAGAGCCCGGGCAAAAGAAACTGACATTACTGCTAATTTCACAACCGAATATTGATCATACATTGTATTTCATAACTATGTCAATGATAAAATAAAACATACTGACGGGTGTTTTTCACACCTGCATAGATAAAGAAGATAACTTGTTTAACTGGTTATTGGATATTTCACCTGTTCTAATTATATTTTAATCCATATTACAATACACAAAAAGTTGACATTTAAAGTTATATTATGCTCAAATTTGATATTTGAAAAAAAAAGATAATTATTATACAGTCTCGTTTGAAATGTATAGTTAACATCATTTGAATACATACAAAGAAAATATGTTACGTTTTAAATTCAACACACTACAGATAAACACAGTAAGACTACAAAGTGTCATTAAAAATCTGGCAGTTTTTATAAGAATGGACCAATTTATTTGACAAGTGATCAGGAATGCAGCTAACCAAACATAGATTATACACTCACCTATTCATATTCGACATATTAAGGTAGAATGTACTAGATTCCAATACATTTTTACAAAAGAATATTTTACCAAAATATAAGCATAGTTTATCTTTAAAGATTAAAATTTTTTTGGACTTTCTTAAATGATTCTTATTTTCTCTATTTTAATATAATAAATCTGATGCTCAAATTCAGATTTATCTAGGAAACAAATTTCATTGAAATATCTCATTGAAAACTTTTAAATTAGTTAAAATCCGGAATCAATATTTTCTCTGTTAAGTTACAGCGATCTAGACCCTATATGACCTAAAGTAATCCCAAGCGACGTCTTCGCATAGGCTTGCAACTTATTGAAATTTCTCATGTCTATCTGTAGTCATTGACCGGATATCGTTTTCCTATTTTTATAAAAAAAATACTAAACCTTAACACTAGTGGGCCCAAAAGCAATCACCAGCGAGATCTTGTACAAAACGTTTCAATTAAATAAATCATTCTTTCTACTTATTTTTTTACCAGAAAAGTCTTCTACTTTAACCTACAGTAACCTTGACCTTGACCCTAGGGATTAAATATCAATCCATTGAAAGGGCTTCATGTAAGCCTCGAACACACACAGTATCGCTATAAAATCTTATTTCTTAATAACATGTCCTTTATTGATCGAAAACCGATTTTCTACGGAAAGGTGACAGTATAGCAATCCCAAACGATGTCTTAAGATAAACCTGCTATATAGCTATTGAAAAAAATCATTATAAACGTCAGTAATGGCCCGGAAACCATCTTGTTTGACGAACGTTAAGCGCCTTAAAACAATATTATTTCCAGGATTTTTGTTTTGAAAAATCTGCATGCAAGGATTTCGAACTGAAAATATTCAGCCTTTTATCCTGCTTATCATAACCAAAAGTGATCAGTATTTAACACAAATTAAAATCTTCTCATACTCAACAACTTGAACTGTTTTCTGTTTTCAGTCACAATAACACTGTAATGGTAATTTTGCGATTCTCCAGCTTTTCTGATATAGTTAGACCTCAGGTGACCTTCCTTGCATCATTTCAGACACATCAAACATCTGACTAGAACAAACAACGTCCGTAGGCTAGCTAGATATTTTTCCCACATTAATAAGTTGACAGCAGTAAGGGCAAGTAGTTTGACGCCAATGACCTCAACCATTCGGTCATGGAGCCTAACCAGGCTTTAAACTGTTGGTAGCTTGACACATTTAACTGTTCTAAATTTAAAGCTTTGCTAAACTTTTACACATATTCACCAGGCTAAATGTAAAGAAATAAATGCTGTTTTTAATGTATAGGATCTCCAATTCTAAGTACAGAACGAGAACAAGAAGCACACACAGATCCTGCATTTCATGTACAATCAGGTCAAGATATGATGCCCCAACAAAAGCCTGGTAAATTCAAATAAAGCAAAGACACGTTTGTATAGTTTGAGGTTGATAAGGAAGAAAACTTAAAATAAGCGTTCCGGACAGAATCTGATATCAACGAAATGAAATAAATGTTTTGATAATTAATTGAATTCAATTAAATGACATTATGTACAAATTATTAGGACTGAATTTACAATATTAAGTTTATTAACTTGTAATCAGGTCAATCTTTTTGTTGAACGTAATTTGAACTATCTATGTAGTAAATTAAAAACAGCAAAGGCATATGCATATGAACAGCATCAGTGAAGTATTCATTATATTTAATTGTTTTTGTTTTCTTTATGTTAAGAAAAATATATAGCTTTGTACGATTACGAACCAAGAATGGGTGATGAAATAAAAATCAAGACAGGACAGCTTGTGACGGTTTGGGAAAAATGTGGTGATTGGTTCCGCGGTGAAGCAAGCGGGAGATATGGATTATTTCCTGGGAATTACGTACAGAAGGCTGAAGATACAGGTGGTGACTTAACATATATTGATATGTTTTTCAATGAATATGAGATGCAAGTCGCAAGGAACACGTCCAAATCATCTTATAAGAATTGTTTTAACTTATTTGCAACTGCCTGTATTCTGTTTACATAACGAACACGTTAGGATAATTTTCATTTATACTTATTTATCCAGTCTGATTGTGTTGAAAGGTATTAGCTAATTCAAACACTTTCGAAACAGTTCCTGGAACAAAAAAGTGCTAAGCAACGGGTGAAAAGTTTTATGCTCATGGACGTAACGGCTGACCCTGACGGGTTATGAACCAACATGGTCAGCAATCCTTAGGTTACTAGTCCGACGCGTAAACCATTCGGTCACGCTGTCATCCAAAGGTACCTACTAGCATTTGAATTGTGAATACGATGGTGATGAAAATTATGTTTTTTTTATAATTTGTCACTAAGTGTACAATATTTCAAATGTTTTGAATTATTTTATCCCCAAGTTATTATCACTTTTTAAATTCGTTTCCTTTCGAAAAGTATCGAAATCGATTTAAGAAATGAAAATCTATAAATTAATATATGATTAGAGCTTAAGCTATTGACTTTCATTTTAACATTAAGAGTATAAAACTTTAACATCATATTTCATAAAGCTGCACCTCCGATTGCAAAGAAACCATCGCCTGATACGATACTGCGACGAAGAAGAATGTTTGATATAAGAACGGATACGAGACCTACTCATTACGTATGTTTGTTTTCTTTTTATCAACATAACTTCTTATAAAATTTGGATTTACATTTTTCATCCCGGCAAGGAAAGGAAACAAATGATAACCGAGCCATTGCTCATTTCTTTGACTTAAAATGGAATATAACACACTTTGACAACTACAAAAATGCTGATCGAGCTCATCGGAATCTTTTAGTAGCGTAACGGTCATTTAATTAATAATATGACTGACTTCCGTGTAAGTGTCCAGTTGACCGGGTATTGCATCTTTATATTAATCAGAAGATTAAGAATGGACATTGTTTTACATTGTATGCATTTCAAGTAAATACCCATCCAGAGTTAATGTGAATAAGTGCGATCAATTTATACAGCATGCATTTTTGACATACCTGTTTGATATCGATATCACCCTTTTGATTCAGTAGTATAACTTATTTGCAATTGTATTATTCGTATAATTGTCATAGTTCAGTTAAATTTTATATAAAATTACTTCACTGTTATATCAAAATTGTGTCCTAATCATTTCAATTTTAATTTTGTAGGTACATCGTCGGGACATTGTGCAAACCCAATTAACAGGTAAAGTTTTCAATTAATTTGGTGTTGAAATTCACAAGCACATTTTTCTAAAACATTTAACAAAAAAAATATAAAGTATATTGTATTAAGTAATTTATATGAGACATTAAGACGGTGTCAAGCTAAAGTAAATTGTTTAAAGTAAAAATATATAACCTTTTTGAATTAACAATAATGCATTTAAGGGTCATCCTTCGGCGCGTAATTATGACCGATGACTTCAAACCACTTGTCACTCACCGCTACGGTTTCGAATCTTTTCGAGGTATACTGTTCAGACACTGGAAAATAGCAACAACGAGACAACCTTTTCCTGTTTCAGATTTACTCGTACAATTGCCGCTTTGCATTGTCATACAACAACCGGACAACACGGAGACCAGTTGTGGGCGGCGGGTTTTGAAATATTTCTTTTTTTATGAAGGACCTCGCTTTTGTAAAACTTTGCATTTACAGATTTACCCTTTGCTGCGGCAATAGGAATAGCAGGACCTTGTTTTGTAAAGAAAATTGCATACATGACCTTTTTGACGCTCATGGTGCGTTTTGCTATGAAAGGTCTTTGACTTCCTTTGGTTGCCCATATTTTGTTATGGTTCTTTCGCTTTGGCTCATAAAAGTGAAACCACGTCTAATCGCCAGTGATGATATTTGCAAAAGATCGATTGTTGTATTCAGGGAGCTGTTTCAACAATTGTTTAAAGATTCTTTCCCTAGACAGTTTTGCTCTTTTGTAAGGGGGTGGGGTTACAATCTGGCACTTATCCTTCTCATTTTTAAATCACATCTTAGAATTGTTTGAGCGACTCCTACCAAGATACTAAATTATTCAGCTATATACCTAGTTGTAAATCTTGCATCAGTAGCAATCAAATCCTTTAATTTTTCAACCGTTTTTGGCGAAGTTTTAGTTTTCGTACGGCGTGCATCAGGTGCATCTTTTTCTGAATCCACAACTCTTTTAAGTTTCTTACACCGCGTGTGACAGATGAAAAAGAAAGTTCAGTGTTCCCATAAATACGACATATTTCATTAATTATATCTTTCGCCTGTATATCAAGAATACAGCGGTTCTTGATATAGGACCGTATTTGGTCAGTGAAAGGATACCTTTTACCAACAATTTTAGCTTAAGTATATACGAGAAGATAGCGTTTATCGCTAGACTGAACTGATTTACAAATGTATTGTATCAATTGAAAGCTTACACAACCTTGTATACGATACATGTACATATAAGTCGTGCAAGACCTTGTTAAAAGCTAGATATTGGGCTAGTTGCATTCACATTTGAACAACCCTCGTACATCAAATGGAAAAATAATATCGTATTGACATTGATTTTGTTGGGGGTAGCAAGGGCGTGCGTAAATAAATACCAAGCGAGGTCCTCATACGAGCTTGCTAATGTCAAGTAAACTCTAGTTATTGACCTGAAACAAAATTCGTCTTTTTTAGTAAAAGTGTCATTGAACACTACCCTACGTAGCGCTAAAGCAAACTAATGTTAAGTCGTAATATAAATTTGCTTTACACAAAGTTTGGTTGAAATATTTCATAATTGAACAGAAACAAATGTTCTATACTGTATGTGTATTTAAATTCGCGGAAGCAAATTTTCGCGGAAAGGTCCATTTTGGGGGTATATACTAATATTCGCGCTATTTTGAATTCGCGGAGGTGACAGCCGAAAATCATAAATTCGCGTACACCCATCAGGTTAAAAAGTAAGGGAAATTAGTCTTACATGATTAGGCAATTGTTTTCGCAAGCAGCCTTATTTCATTCAAAATACTTTTTACTGTAATCATTGTTGGACTTCACAGTTATTTTCAACACCTGGTGTCAAACAATACGCTATTGTACATAACAAAGACATTCAGTTTGTCTAGCGTACAAATTATGGCACACAAAAGAATGTCCGTTAACGTGCGTGATTCTTCACAGTTTTTAACAGCACTGAATGAGACCATAATCTTTTCACCGATATTGTTAAAATGTTGACTGAGTAATTGTGTTTTGTTTTCCATGTTTTCATCAGTTAAAATCGTTAAAGTTTGTGTTGTTTGTATTGTTTGTTTAGAAAAACAAAACAAAATATAATCTGGTCAGATGTCAAGACATTTATGACTCGGATTATGAGATAAAACTATTATTGGTATTGTTCAAACATGTATATACTTATACAAGAATCCGATTATCATATCAGTCAAACATTAATACACTAGCAAACTGATTTATATACAGAGCTGAATGTCACATGTACAGTTTATACAACAGTAAAATCACTCTTTGAAAGCGCAACGGATACCAGACTTATGGCAGCCGTGAACACAGTGATATATTTTGTTCTATAAATGCGCGAAAATATGACTATTAAGAAATTATTTGTGTAAAAATATTCGCGCTGAACATGAATTCGCGGATCGAATGTCACCGCGAAGATCCCGAAAATTTGAAGCCCGCGAATATTTCTACACATACAGTATTTAGTACAATGACATTGACCTTGACCCCAGGGAGATCCTAAAGCAATCCCAGCCTTGGTCAGATTGCAATTATTCATTCGAAAAATCAGCTATTGAACGGAAACTGATTTCTTGTTTAAAGTAACATTAACATTGACATGGATCATAAGGAGGCTCAAAAACATTCCATAGCAAGGACTTCACATACGCTTTGTAGGAAACAAATTTCAATGTAATATATCTCATTCAAAAACTCTAGTTATTAACCGGATTTTATTTTCTCTATATAGTACCTGTTAAGGCGACCGTCCAACAAAACTCAAAGCAATCCCAAGCGACGGCTTTGTTAGCAACTCATTGAAACATCTCATTCCTATATTTCGTCTGTGACCTGCTATCGTTTTTCTATTTCAATAAAGTTACTTAATCTAAACCCTAGTTGGCTTTAATACAATAACAAGCGAGATCGTATATACCACGTTTTATTTAAATAAACGAGTATCATCATGGTTCTAGTTATTGACAGGAAACCATCTTGTTTGATGAACGTCCGTCTGCCCATCCGTGGTCGCGAGTCCACTTTAAAACAATTTCATTTCCAGGAGTTTTAATTTTGAAACATCTAGGTAAATAAATGTGAAGTGCAAACTGAAAATTATTCAACCTCTAATCCTGCTTAACCGAATGTGAACAGTTTTTACCTAAAGTATTAATACAAGTCAGACTCCACAACCATGCTGTCTGACAAGGCTCTGCATTGTTTTGTTTTCTTCCGTATAAATAAAACAAACACTGTGATGGTCATATGTCCACAATCTAGTTTTCCTGGATGAGTAAGGCCTCATGTGTCCTTCCTAGCATTATTTCAAACACAACCAGCATATGAGAAGAACCACCAACGTCCGTACACTAGCTGGATAGCTTCCTCAGAAGTGTGGGTCAAATGGTTTGAAGCCAATGACCCGAACCACTCGGTCACAGGGGCCCCGACCAGGTTCTAGACTGTTGGTAACTTAACTACTGAAACATTTTAACATTTGCAATCTCTGCAAATCTTTAACACTTATTCACCAGGCTAAATGTAAATTTTAGTAAATTTTATTTGTTGTTGATCTATTGGGTTTTACGTCACACCGACACAGTATAAGTCATATGGCGACGTTACAGCTTAACTGGTGGAGAAAGAACTCAGGTGCCCTTCTGTGCATTATTTCAAGCAGGAACGGGCACCTGTGTGAACCACCCACCGACGTTCCGTAAGCTAGTAGGATAGCTTTCTCACATGAAAGTATCAAAATTCCCCGTCGGGATTCGAAGCCACAGCGGTGAGGGGCGAGTGGTTTGAAGTCAGCGACCTTAGCCACTCGGCCACGGACGCCCCACTACAATGTTAAGAAAAAAATGATGTTTTAATGTATATATCTCCAAATCCATGTACAGAACGAGAGCAAGCAGCACATCCGGATCCTCTATTTCATGGCCAATCATGTCAAGATATGAAATCGGTACCTCAACAAAAGCCAGGTAAATTTAACTGAAGCAAGAATACTTTTGTGAATATTTAAAATCGGTTATGAAGAAAACTTAAAGTAAGCGTCCCGGACAGATATCATCGAAATTATTTGTATTTGTGGCTTTAGATAAATGCTTTGATTATTAATTGTATTCATTGAATGATATTATGAACAAATTATCAAGACTAAAGTTTTCTGCTTATTTACACCTTTCTTTCTTTTACGCTGAAATGGACGTTTCACATTTCTTATTTTAACTTAGCGTTATTGTACAGAACTAAAAAACTATCTATGTAGTAAATTTTCAACTGAAACAGCATATTTAACCAGTTAAGGACTCATTATAATTATTTTTGTTAAGAAAACTATATAGCTAAAATATAATCAAGGTTGGTTTGGTTCCTTGCAGAAGCAAGTGGGAGACGCGGACACATCCCTGGGAATTACCGAAGGAAAGCTCAAGATATAAATCCAGGTGCAGACCTTACAAATGAATTGGAGAAGGTATTACTTCGTCGCCGTGCTAAGTTAGAAGAAATAAGTTCTTCGAATGAATAATAAATATGTAACTTACAGAAAGCGATGTGTATTTTTCATCAATATCAAATCAAGCCAAATTGTAAATTAAAGACATAAGACAAATTGTATTTCAATAAACAAGACAAAATGTATATTCAAGAAACAAGACTAATTAAATCACATCATAGCAAAATATATCTTTTTTGTATTATTTAGATCACTTCATATAAGACTTAAACAGACATTATAAAGTATGTTCTCCTATTTTCACAAGAACATTATATATAGTGTAAATATTTTATACAACAATATACAACATTGTTTCTCCAATTCACAATGAAATATTGTAAAGCACACATGACTTCTGAATGACATTTGTTTCTGTTACTATTTTAAATGAGTAATGTTATAATGATTTTGTTTAATATTTTGTATGGTAGTCAAAATTGTCTTTACATTTTGCTTCATTATGAAAAATGTAGTTCGCATTCATTCTTACATTCATTTGGTAATAAGCATCTTCTATGCTGTAAAGCCATAATTTAAACATAATAAAACTTATGTTTGCTCTCTCTATAGTGCAACATATTATATAGAGGATATTTGTTAAGTTCAGTGTAAGATCGGAATATATTTCACCGAGTGAGCACCAAAAGATATATTTCACTAGTTGCGCAGCCACGAGTGAAATATAACGGTTGGTGTTCACGAGGTGAATCATATTTCGATCCTACAATAAACTTAACAAATTTCCTTTTTATTAGATGCAAAATAACTTTTAAAATGACGTTTTAACCTAATGCTAAATAAAAAGTGCACCAAATAATAATAAAAAGTGACGCAATTATTGACGTCACGTCAGTAAGTTGGTTTCTAATACTATGCACGCTGGTATTTCACTAAAACAACGTAATGGGCTTAAATCTTAAACAGTGAAACTTATCAATTTGATAATTTTTCTGGTTCAAACATTGAAATAACAGTTTTATTTCACTGATATTTTTTTATAAACTACCAAAAAGCATGTAATAAACACAGTTTACCGACTAAGTTGATCCAAATATTGATACTGATACTAAATTGGTCCTTATTTTTATCCTATCATTATTCTGATATTTAAATGTACTGTTATTCGTCAATTTAATCCTTGATTCTTTTAAAATCAACACTTTGTAACATTTTGTTATTTACCATTTAATGTTATCCCAGTTTAATTTAGATTTCATGAAACAATGATTTAAAATCAAGATAAAGCTTTTGATTGGGCCTGAAGTTAAAATTACATTCTTATGCAAAACATTTGGATGAAAACCGGTTTTCCAGTGAATGCCACTAAATCTTAATATTTCTTCAACCGTAACCTAAATTTAAGAATATTATATTCGTCTTTCATTTCAGTTTCCTTGGTAAGGGAAATCAAAATTATCATAATCTGTATTAAATATCCTACGTAAAGTTTTTTGCAGACGTGAAGATTGCATTTAATTTTATTTATCTGGTCTATTTATTATTATTATTATTCAAAACATAGCATTGATATTTAAATGATGGGAATGAACGTGTCACAAGACGATATCCATGGCAATATATTTTAGGTTCAGATCTGAATAAAAGTTAAGATGCGGGAATATTTTCTAATTGTGGAAGGAATCATATCGTTAACTGCATCTGACATTTAACGCAAATTTATCATTGGCTCATTATGCCTATGAAATACGTTTTTATTGCTCGAAAATCTTTAAATTTTGTTGAACTTTATAGCTTCTAGAAAGTGATAAATTTGCTAGTTAACTAAAGGATATTTTTGTTCTGTTGTTAATATTTGTATGGAAGTTAAATACTATTTTGTTTATAAGTTGCAATTTAAATGACAAATTGTTTCACAATTAACGTTACTTTCCTAATGTAACAATCATCCAACATGCTCTTAAAGATTAACATTCATTTAGATGTCTTTTAAAATATAAATTTATTCATATTTTCTCTTTATAACAAAGTACACATTTCAAAGCTTCTGAGGTATAATGTGCCTTAAAATACAAAACTTTTTAACTCTACACAATTCAGCCTTTTACCGACTTGAAACGTCTACTTGTACATGTTACATACTGTAGTAGTTTAAAATTGTTTCCTCTTTTTTGTATTTCTTTATATTCTATTATTATATGACACTAGGTTTGTTATCACTTTTTACTTTAATACAAAACAATAATTTGTTATATTCTGATTTGCAGACTATAACCTTTGAATTGATTGATTTTTTGTGGGGATTAGAAAGTAAATGAATTTGTTATATATAATATTACTATATTATATTGATATTATATATTATTGTAATATGTGTAATAATGTTATAACGTAGTATGAATATCATGTAAAAAGTTGGACTTTTGGCATCTTTGGTAAAGCCACACTTCCGCTTTGTATTAATTTTCATTACGTAAATCTTTACTGAAAGTTATTAATTCATCTTGTTTTAAGGTAGACCATGGGTAATAGGCACTATAAGGAATTGTAAAACTGACAACATAGGACAGTTATGTGTCTTAATGGTCACTTGTTTGCACAATTTAAATACAATTTACCGTGAGGTTTATGAGTTATGGATACATTTCTGAACTACAACTTTGCTATTAGAAGGGTTTTTTTTTCCAGAAATGACGGAACTCTCAATAATCTATAATATCATCATTATGAAAAATGTTATCCTATTGTTTAACATTCAGGTAACAAATTACACGAGCAAAATAATTGCTTCTAAACAACATGTTTTTCATATGTATACAAATGTTACCCTACCTCACCCACTTTAAACACTTATTTGAACATTTCCCTATATGAAAAGACATATTCAAATATCCGTAAAACTTACCACAATGAGGCGCTCTTTTCAAAGTTTGCCTAATTTTTCTTAAAAAGTATATTGGTTGATCATGCGAAATATAAAATACTTGTGGTTTATATACTTATATATTTACTTAAACAGTGAAGTTTTTATTTGGTCAACTTTGAAAATATCTTGTATCCTATTTGCTATTACATTTGGCATTATTGTTAGTAAATATATAACAATAATAATTATAATCTTTTAAATTAAACACTTTCTGAGAGATACATAAATAATGTTAAAAAGAAAAAATAAATGAAAAAAAAATGCCTTTTCTGGGGTTTGACCCCACGCCCCTCAATTCCAGTGTAGTTGATAATTGATTCTAGCCTTTGTGATTACCCTTCAATATGGAGGTTATACATAATTATGGTCTACCTTAAATAGCATCTCATAAAAGGTTTATAATTTGAATATGTTGGTTAAATTTCTAATGGTGCTAGTTTCAATTAATTTCTTTAAAATTCTTAAAAAATAAAGAAAGAATACTTATGTTATGTTTAATACGGTTATTAAAATTAAAATTATTCAATCAAGAATTTGCGTGTGCTTTTTATTTATTATGGTAAAAACCCACATCACAGAAAGAACAAATTGAGTTTAAGCCTGATACATAAATAAAGTAGCATGCAAATAGCGGGGAAGACCTGCGAAGCTAGCTTGTGATAAAACTTCAACATGTCGCTTTGAGTGTCCCTCCTCTGCTACACAAATGTAAATAGACACATCTAAAACTGTTTTTTAAGTAAGCACAGCCCGTTGTAGTAACCAAATTTTGCTTTTGTTTCTCCTTGTCACTTGCCGGTCAATTTCGCGTAAATCATACTGTCTCTTAAAAAATGGACATTTTTCCTTTTCATTTTCATGAACATAAAGGTATTTTCTTTTCACTTTGATTTTCATGTTTTGTTTTCATATTCCTTTAACTTGTTACGATTAGTGGATTTCTATTTTGTTTCAGTCTCTACTGTAACCGTCTCTACCAGATTTTATATTTGAAACGACAAATCTACATAAACGCGATCAGGAAATAAGCGACAAGATAACAAGTTAGTGACAAAGCAAGCAAACTAGATAAAATCAGTAATAGAAAGATATAAGAAAATGTTTTCCTTACACGATGAACAACGTTCTTCTCTATCCTTTGAAAATACTGACTTATTAGCTTACATGTAAAAACTCATAATCACCTTGGACTTGAATAAAGTGAAGATAGAAATTGACATGAACATATCAATAATATAATGACTTTAGATTCTAAAGTTCTTAGCTCAATGCAAGCATTGAAATATAAACGTAAACGGATTCAACTTCATGAATTCATGTTTGGACTTCACGATTTCAACCTAACAAAATGGAAATCGTGAATCCACGAAGATGAAATCATGAAATTTAATACATGAGTCCATAAATCTGAATTCGTGAAGTAACAATAGAAATTTCGCGTAGCTGAAATCGCGAATTCGTGAAGTTAAACTCGTGATTAAATGAAGATGCAATCGTGAATCCATGAAGCTAAAATATGAACAAATTAACATGCAATCGTAGATCCATGAATTCTATATGTTGAAAGCGTGAGCTTGTGAATTCGTGAAAATGGACTTGAGAAATCAAGATGTTGAAATGTCACAACCGGTCGTTCGTACGGCAAACACATATATTTACAAAATCCTTTATTCATTTATCCACTGGAAAATGGAATAATTTGGATGACATGTGTCTTCACTAAATATTTTTTAAATCTTGTCTCAAAAAAATGCATCAACCTCAAGCTGTTCCTCAATATTTTCTCTGTTTATATATTTCATCGTTTTACAATGCACAATTAAGACACGAATGTAGTAATCTTAATGCGGATCTGTCTCAGAAGTAAGATTATCAGAGGTTTTAGATTTATATTGTCTATAGATTTTTTTTCCGACCTAAACACACAGTTTCCTCGATTACATTTCCGGTCAACGGCATCTTGTGTTACTTTACAGCTCAGTTTCGTTTATTCCGTTGGAGTCACAAACAAACATTCACACCTTCACAAGTTAAAAAATTGAAAAAGAAGAGAACGTAGGTGTAGTAAGTCCCGCCTTCTATGTATAATGCATAGTACTTACAGTGAGTTCGTATAAACTAGTTGTAAAGCATAGTTGAAATAAAGTAAACAGATATTTTTAGAATCAAATGGTTATGATAAATGAAGACAGACGGTGACTAGTATATTGGTTAGACCAAAACTGCCGTTCAGATATGTCTAAAAGGGTAATTTATTATCATTATATTGTTTTTGAAACAGTATGTCTGAAATAATAATTTAAGCGCATTATAATACCGTAAGTAATTGCTTAGAAGAACATCAATAACTAGTACAATATGTACTCCCCATGTGTGCACATGGACACTGAAAACGATAAAATTTAATGCAAAAGAAAGAAAACAAAAGCAGAAACGACAAAAACGTAAAGGAATTGTTCATGTGGAACTTAAAACGTAATCCTTGTGTGTCGTTTGGTTGTAATGAAAATTATTTTTGAATTAAAATAATTCAATTTATCCTTCAAGAAATCAGATTTGTTTACATTAGCGGTTGCTAAACAATCGGATTAATTCTAACCTTATTGTGTTAGGTGTAGAATACTACTGGTTTCCGTTGTACAAGTTAATTTTATATAGCGTAAACAGGTACCAGATGATTGGCTATAAAATCACGAAATGCCCGTGCAATTTCCTCTTTCGCCTTTACACACGATTCACTATACAAGTAAAATAAGATAATGCCACGTGGTCGTGGATGCCGAAGAAGAGTACCGTCTCAACATAGCCATAACTTGAGTAATAGGCAGCTCAATGATGTTCAGTCTGCAAGGCAAACTCGCAGTCCAGCGGCTAGAAATACCAGGGGCGCACAACCCGACGCTGAATTCTCGAGAGGGGATGAAATTCCACCCCATCAGAGGTCAGCGAGGGGGGAACAGACATGCACAAATGGGCAGCCTGCGCAGTCCAGAGGCAGTAAACGGTCGATTGACGAGCTGGGTGAGGCAGAGAACAGGCTCCTGCAAGGAGATGCTGGTATGTCAAATTTTGTCGATTTTGAACATATCATAAATGCTTCAGGTTTAATTTCTGAGAGAGATAGGTCTGCTCGTGCAGCAAATACTGAATCTTAAGGGTGTGGCGTATCGAACCAAAATTTGAATTTAGTACCTTTTTCCCTCGAGGGATTCTAGTAGTGCTAGTCATTTCTCAAATTTAAATACAGGCACACGTGCACCAAGCGTGCCCCCGTTACGTCTAGCAGACGATGATATAGCGGCTCACGTGCCTACGTCTTTAAAGCAACAAATTTGTAGGGGAGAGTACATAAATCTCGCACTCCTTTTGAAAGGTGCTATAGAATTAAATGAATTCTGTAAGGGTGGCCTTTTTAGGGTGAGTTTTGAAGGAAATATTGTCTCATCTTCTCGGGAATGTAAAGAGCAAATAAACAGTATCGAGAAATGGACAAATGCATTCCTTATTTATTCCTCAATTTATCTATCAAATCATTCGGATAGAATGTACGAAATCTTGCATTACATGTTTAACATAAGAGAATGCGCTATGCGTCAAGGGGGTTTTGCTTGGAGAACGTATGATGAACAGTTTAGGCTTCGTCAGGCAACAGCCAACGCATCATGGGCTCGGATAAATAATGATTTATGGTGGCGTTGTTTCCAAGTGGTACAACCCTCAAAACCACAAATATCAAATCCCGACCTGGTGTGTTTTGATTTTAATAGAGGAAATTGCCATTGGTCAAATTGCAAATATCCTCATGTTTGCAAAAAATGTCACGGACCTCGCCAAGAAATAAATTGCCCCCCTTCTTCTTCTTCGGAAACTTCTAATCTTAAGTCTGACCGATCTTCGTCTTTCCAAAAGACATTTCGAGGGAGAGGTTTCCGAAGTTTTGCTAAAGGCCGGGGCTCTTCTTTCGACAAATACGGTAAATAAGGTTAAAAAGGTTACCGACACACAAAATGAAATGGCAAATACCGATATTTCTAGTTTAGCTTATTCTCCTATAAATATTACTATGTTAATGCATTATTTACAATTTTACGAAAGAAATGAAGCTCAATTTTTATATAATGGTTTTAAATTCGGCTTTCCGCTTCAGTATGAAGGTCCCCGTATTCGTCGGGGTTGTAGCAATTTACGTTCCGCAAGGTTAAAGCCGGAGGTAATTGAAAGTCAAATTTCTAAGGAAATTTAAGCAGGAAGGGTCGCCGGCCCGTTCGTTTCTCCCCCGCTTCCAAAGTTAATTGTTTCACCTATTGGTCTTGTTGAAAAGAAAACTCCTGGCGAATATAGAATGATACATCATTTGTCTTTTCTTCCGGGGGATTCTGTAAACGACTATATGGATCCAACTTTATGCACGGTTCGATATACAAGTTTTGACGAGGCCGTTAAGATGGTACAAGAGTTAGGTCCCCATTGTAAACTTTTTGAGTCGATATTAAGAGCGCTTATCGCTTAATTCCAATAAATCCCTCCGATTTTGAGCTTTTAGGCTTTTGTTTTAAAACTAGATATTATTTTGATAAAGCATTGCCTTTTGGGGCCTCAATTAGCTGTGTAACTTTTGAACGGTTTGCTAGGTTTTTAGAATTTTGTGTAAAATCTAAATTTAAATCCGGTAATTTAATACATTATCTTGACGATTTTTTGGGCGGAGATAAAACAACAAATTCTTGTAACAAGGCTTTTGAAATATTCAAGGATACCATGACTGAATTGGGTGTTCCTTTAGCCATGGATAAAACTGAGGGCCCGACTGAATGTCTGATATTTTTAGGCATAGAATTAGATTCGGACAAAATGCAAGTTCGGATACCCATGCCAAAAATTCAGGAAATAATTGATAAAATTTTGTACATTTTGAGTCGGAAAAAGTGCACTGTGAAGGAAATCCAGTCAC